CTCCCTGGGCGGCCGGGGGCCTGCAGCAGCTGGCGGCCAGCCGCGGTGAAGAGCAGGCCACACGGTCCCACCCGCCGGTGGGCGTCAGCCCCCCGCTCCCTCATTTCAGGACAGGCGCCTTCAGGGAGAGGGCAGCGTCACCTTCAGCACCCAAACGGCAGCTCCCTGGCCAGAGAGGCCTGCTGGGCAGAAGTGCTCTGTAGCCCTGGGCAGCTTGACGAGGTGGAAAGCCACCAGCGAGGGGAAATGCAGAGACCCCAAGCGGTGGGGCCGCCCAGCAGACGTCGCCAGCAGTCTCAGGGCAGACGGCCCCTGGGAGCGGTGCCCCCGCCCCCCCCCCCCCCGGAAAGCTGGTACCTCAGGAGGCTGAGACCCCACCATCGTCAGGTAGACCCTAATGTCAGATGCTAAATGTGAGGGGTATGCTTTTTAGAACCCAGGTTCGGTGATATTTTCGCATTTTAACCTAACAGCCTTGTGCTTTTTTAACTATTTCATTGCAACCTCTTCCACTGACCCTCTGAGCTCCGGGGAGCAAAGCTGTCTTTGCTCAAAAAGACAGTCCTGCTCGCCCACTCTACACGCCCTCCAGGCCTGGCCAGAGCTGGGCGCGTGGAGGGACGCTGTGTCGCCGGCGTGCTCCCGCGAAGGGGCTGCCAGGCGAGCGGGGATTTAATCAGTGTGTGCGACACCCTCCTGGACCGAGGCTGCGACACGCCTCACAGGGGTGAGTCTGCAGGGACAGGCAGTGGTGTGTACGGGGTGCCCGCCCAGGCATCTGTGCCCTCAACAGCGTGGATAAGTGTGTGTGTCTTAATCATTTTGTTAAAGATGCTTCAAGCCTTCTGTGTCTTAACTATTTCCCTGGCCTCTGCCTTCGGTTTTATTCCTTCCTAAAGTTTGTCCTTAAAGATTAATTCTTGGCTGCAGTGAGCTGGATAAAGCAACACACCTTATTCTGTGTTTTTATTCTCTTTCTTATGTGAACGTTGCCCCTGGGGCAAATACTGTGTCTTCCTGTCTCACCCGGTCCCAGAACACCGTCCACAATGAACAAATACACACACGGCGACGGGAGCCTAACGTTTCCAGAACGGCTCTCTGTCCCAATGCAGCCACCGAGCAGTCAGGGACACACGCTGCCCTGCTCTTGCTGGCATTTCAGTGTTAGAGAAGCTCCCCACCCATCGCCGAAAACGCAAACTCAGCCTCCCCAAGACGCCAAAAACCACTGACCAGGCACAGCTCGTACCTCTTTAGAAACGATGAAGCCCTGGCAGGGCTGGTGTGCCTCAGTGGTTGAGTATCAACTCATGAACCAGGAGGTCATGGTTCGATTCCTGGTCATGGCTCAATCCCCAGCAGGGGGCGTGCAGGAGGCAGCCAATCAATGATTCTCTCTCAGCATGGATGTTTCTATCTCTCTCCCCGTCTCTGAAATCAATTAAAAAATAAAAAGATGAGGAGCCTGACGATTCAGCCTCACTCCCGCCCTTGGTGATGGCAGGCTGCTAAGCGTAACCTTAGATCCGGGAAGATCGTCACCTGGCCGTCTTACCGATTCTCACTGACTGCGAAGCAGGTGAGGCAGCATTTCCACTTTAAAGATGAGCAAACTGACAACGAGAAACGTGAAATGACTTTTTATCGAAGGGAGGGAGCAAAAATGAAAATAAAATTGAAGCAGAACTGAAAGGAGATTTAAGGCCAGGACCCTTGCTTGTCTCATGGAATGAGTTTCCCAGCAATTAGTTACCTCCTCGCCCATCTGGTGAGAGCAGCCGGCAGAAATCATTCTCTGATACTAACAGTGCGAGGTGGTCGCAGGAGTGTACGGAGTGAGGGCAGGTGGCAGTCGCTGCAGCGGTAACACTCTGCCCTATGTCCGTGGACCAGAGTTCCAGGCACTCCCTCACAGTGCTTCATTCACTCTTCAACCGCCCCCCCCATGAGTTAGGCAGGCGCCCCCCCACGCCCAGCACCCGGAGATTCAGAAAGAGCACTCTGCCTCCCATCACAGCACCCAGGTGACCACCCAGCCTCTGGCAGGTGCTGCCCGGTCCCTCCTCAGCGTGGTTTCACTTTGCTCACCAGGCGGGCAGCACCTGGCGTTACAGGCCCAGCTGCCCCTGTGGGAAGGAAATTGAAAGAAGGGAACCAGGCAAGAAGGGCAGGTGAGGGAGAGCTTCTGGGAGGGGGTCTCAGGAAATCCCTGAAGGAGGTACCACTGCAGGGGGCGGGGCTGTTCCCGAGAGGGTGGGCTCGGGCTGGGAGCAAGGAAGGTCACATTCTGCCTCCTGGTCTCTGCCGAGGGTGTCCCTCCAGCTGTGGCACCGGCCTTCGGGCTCTGCTTGTCACCTCCTGGCTTATCTGGCTGCCCACAGCAAAAAGTCTCTCCTTTGGGTTGAGGGTGAAGCTTTTGGTTTTCCCACTGTCCATCCAATCTGTGCCTCGGCCCCAGGAACTTATCCTCAGGGGCTAAGCAGGGACAAGTCATGTGAGATCCACTGCCAGGAACTCTGCAACTCCACTTTTGGAAAACAGTCCATCACCGAGGCGCCAGTGGCCCTGGCTTCCTGGTGGGGAGCCGTGGGGAGCCGTGGTTGGAGCACCTGCTGGAATGCACACGTGCTGGCACATACGTGCCAGGGGACTCTGTGGTCCACGGATGTAGCTTTCCTCAGTTTGCCTGTGAGCCTGTTCCACAAGCTCTTTGGGTTCCCGATCTCACAGCTGTGACACAGCGGGGGCAGCAGTGTCACGCCCCCTGCCGTTCAGCTTGTGGAATTCAGGAATCAAGTGGGACCGTGGCCTTTAAAGGACCCCAGAAACCCCCTTCATTTCTGCAACAAACGCTTCCTATTTGAGTGGTGATGAAGGGCAAAGCACACACATAGAAATGTTCTGGAAATTATGGAAACAGCATCCAAATGGAAACAGATCCAAATGGCATTACCTTAGCATCGATGGCAATTCACAAGCAGACCCCCAGGCTAATTGCTCTTTCAGGAACATGAAGGGAGAAGGGAGGGAAAGTCAGACCCTGAGATGTGGAGCTGTCAGCCTGCTTGATGTTAAATAAAACCTACCCAGACTCAGCCGAGAATTTTAGCAGAATCCAAATGTGCTAAAAAAAAAAAAAAAAAAAAAAAAAAAAAAGGCACAGCTCCATCTCGAAGGTTCGCAGCTAAGCTGGCTTCGAATCACACATGCCAAGGTTAAAAATAAAAAGCAGCCATCCCTGAATGACAGGGCCCCGGGAAGGAAGCCCGGGCGGCGCCGGTGACGCGGGCAGAGGGCGCAGCGCCTGTGCAGGCCGGGGGTTGGGGGCGCACTATGTAACGCCAGGTGCCGGCATTTTGTCACTTTTGCACACAGAAAGCACTTCACATTGGCTTCCCAATGACCTCAGCCTTTCCCCCAGGGACCCCTGCTGTGACCACACAGGGCTCTGCGGGCATGCACTGGCGTCCCTGCCTGGGGCCAGGCTCCGGCTCTGCCCTTGCTCACCTCCGATGCCCAGAGGGTACCTGTGGGACACAGCTTGGAAAGCACCAAACCTGCCTTTCTGGGCCACCCCATTCCACTGAGCCACCGTAATGGCGCTGGGCCACCCCAGCTCTCCCAGCGGGCTCTCCCGGAGACAGAGACTGCAGGCCTGCTTGTCTCCTGAGGATGGCAAATGTGCCACCCTTGCTCCCGCAACCGTGCCCATGAAGGCTAACCGGCAAGGATGGCAGTCAGCCCGGTGCCCCCCTTCTTGCAAACCCAGGGCCCCCTATTATGAGCTCCGTGGGGTCCTTTTAATAAAGTTGCCCTTTGCCCAATATACTTAGAACTTTCTACTTCCTAATGGGTTTACTTTTATACACATTTTAAAAATTAGCCTCAGCTATTGTGCAGGTACCATGTTACCCTCCCCAGTTCCAATCCTAGGCAGACCTTTCTAGAAAGTCTTTACAGGGCCAGGGGGTGTCTAGAAGTCTGTGAGCCATGTGTTACGAGGAACCTGTACATGATAGCATCCCCAGGACTCCCCGCTAGCCAACACATGGGCCAGGCCTGCCCCTCAGCACCAAACAGGGCTTGGGAGGTAAATGGACATTGAACAGCGGCAGCTGCCACCTTCCAGAAGCTTCAGGCTACCCACCAACCTGGGTGACTCTCACCCTCAGCAGTGCACGGAGGAGTGGACTGGCTGCCCCTACGATCCGGCCGATCTTCACCTGAGAGCTAGCTCAGCAGCGTCCCAAACGCCCACCTTGGCGGCGGCAGAGGCGTCACCCAGGGTGGCACTACACAGCAGGAGAAAGGCCCGGAGCCAGAGGGCACACACTGCTTCTGCGCCCCGTGTGACGCTGGAGACACCCGAGGCTCAAAGTGTCTTAGGAATTGGCCAAGCCTCACATCCAGGCATCCTCTCCCTGTGGGAGACCAGGAACCCGGGCTCTGAGCCCCGCCAAAGCAGCGAGCCTGCGGCTGGAAGGGAGCCTGCGGCCGGAAGCGAGCCTGTGGCTGGAAGCGAGCCTGCAGAAGGAGCGTCCTCATCCAGCACCTCCGCGATGCCCTCGCTCATCCATCTGCAACTGAGGGGACCCCTCAATCCCTCAGCACAGAGCCCTGTCGCAAAAGTCCTCCTGTTCTACTTTCCGTCCTTCTCAGGGCCCTTCAGAGGCCAGGAAGGCCCGCGGAGGCCGGGAGGCCCTGAGAAGCGTCCTCCCTGCCCGCCCCTGCGCACCGCGCTCCATCCCAAAGGCTGGACCCATCAGCCCGCTGCTCGCTGCCGCCCTGAGGTTGGCGAGAGCCCTTCCTTCCCTCCAGGGACAGGGGCCCTTTGCCACCCCAGAAACCGCGTGTCCAGAGAAGAGACGGAACTTCTGGATAACCCCCCACACACACACACACACACACAGCGGGGTGGAGGGAAGAGAGAAGGCGGGGCGGCTCTGAGCACCGGCGGGGGAGGAAGGGAAGCAGGCGCGGGGCGGGGCTCCCCTTACCTGTACCAGTCCAGCCCGCGCCCGTAGTTCCTGTCGAAGAAGTGGGGCTCGGTGCCCAGGGCCCGCACGTCCGGGTGCACGCGGATAAACTCCAGCACGGCGCGCGTGCCCCCCTTCTTCACGCCCACGATCAGGGCCTGGGGCAGCCGCTTGGTGCCCGGCTTCGGGGAGCCCGACAGGCTGGAAGCCGCGGGGCGCGGCGCGGGCGCGCGGGGCGGCGGCCCCGGGGGGGCGCAGGGCCGGGGCTCCGGGGGCGCGGGCGGGACGGCCGCGCGGGGGCCGCGGGGCGCGCGGAGGAGGCGGCCGCGGCCGCGGCCGTCGCAGCAGCGCAGGAGGCTGTAGCACAGGTACGTGCAGGACAGCGAGAGCGTGAAGGCGAAGAGCAGCCTGCGCGCCCTGCGCGCCTGGGGCGGCCCCGCGCGGCCCGGGACCCTAAGGGCCATGGCTCCCTGGGCCCGCGCCGGGGGGCATGGTCTCCGAGGGCGCTGGCGGCGAGCTCCGGCCCTGCGGCCGCCTAGAGGGCTCGGGCGGCGCCGCCCGGGCCACGCGGGTCAGCCGCGGGGCGGCCGTCTCTGCCCGGCGCCGCCGGCGGGGCGCGCACCGTGCCCGGGGGGCGGGCGGCGGGCGATGCTCGGGGCTCCGGCCGCAGCGCCTCCCACATCGCGCCGTCCTAGGCGGCGGGGCTCCCGGCGCCTCCCGGCCCTTCGACGCGCAGCGCTGGGAGCGCGCCCGGCGCCCGCAGCCCCAAGCCCGCCGGGGTGGCGGCGGCCGCTCGGTGGCGCTGGCGCGGCCGCTCCGGAGGCTCCGCTCCTCGGAAGGCGGCGGCGCCGCCGCTATTTAAGGAGCCGCCTGACGTCAGCCGCCGGCCCCGAGCCCGCGCCCGCCGGGACCTGGCCCGCCCCTCCGTCCGCCGGGCACACCGCCTGCCCCGCCGCGCCCCGGGCGCCCTGCCAGCGGGTGCGGGGAGGGTGGGCACCTGCTCCTCAGGGGCCCGCACCCCACGCGCTGCCTCCGGACGCCGGGGGCGGGGGTGGGGGGTGCTGGGTGGAGATGGCGCCGCACCCGGACCCAGACGCGGCCGCGGACCGAGCCTCTGCCCTGTGAGCGGAGCCGCCGCGGGGACACGCGCACAGGCAGGGCCACCCGGGACACACCCGCACCCACGTGGAGTAGGAGGAAGAAAGCCCCTAACCTGCACAGACAACCACAGGACACTGCCTCCCTCCCCCCCTCCCCAGACAGACTCAGAGCGGGGCCCAGGCACCGTGCGTCCGCGGGGACACACGCAGGAGGGGACACGCGAGACGGGGACGCAGGCTCTAGACGGGACGCGTGAGGAGCGGAGCGGGAGTGTGAATCCGCGGCTATTTGGGGAGCTCCTCCGTCCTCCCCCCACGCGCTGACTCACTCCCGCGGCTGGCTGTCTCACACCAGGGAGCGCGCGCCCCACCCCAGTCACTCCACCTCTCGCTGGGCGTGGGGGTGCGCGGACCCCAAAGGAGCGGACTCCGCGCGGGCGGGCGGGCTCTTCTCAGCGGCCGCCCCCTAGCGGCTCCCATGGGGTCTCAGGTCCGGGGCACTAGGGACTTGCTCCCGCCTTGGCCCAGGGAAAAGGGAAGAGAGGGGATGACTTAGGAGCACCCCGCTTGGAATGATTTCTCTGTCTGCCCCCAAGCAAGCCTCAGTGGCCATGACCAGAGCAAGCTTAGTGACCACCCTACTCAGAGGTCATCAGAACAGGCCTAAAGGACCGTGGCCCAGAAAGCAGCTGTCAGTCCATAACAATGCCAAGCCACCCTTCCCAGGTGGTCAAGTGAGTACCCCCATAGACTATCTGAGTGACCATCCTCACTCCTTCCCCTCCCCTCCACACACACACACACACACACACACACACACACTTCTGAGCATCCTTCTGATCAGGCTCTGTGGACCACAGCCTGTCAGGGTATATTTTGCCCCTAAACCAGGCCCATCCATGGAAACCTTAGGTCAGTCCCTCTATTGCAGATAATAATTGCTACCAAATTTCTTTCAAGCATTCGGCAAGTGTTAACTTGTTTAATATTCATCACAGCCCATTAGGTTATTACCATTTTCCTACATCACTCTGCTTCCTTAATCCCGATAGTAGCTAACATTAATGGAGTGCTTGTTTTGTGCCAGTAATGTGCAAATCACATGACATGCATTACCTCCGTTACCTCCAAAGGGACAGGGTTATCCATTCTCATTCACGGACAGTGAGATCCAGGCTTAATGGACACATCCTCAGTCACTGACAGCTGGGGTGGAGGCCAGGCAGTGTGACTCTGTTACAGTGCTTTGCAGTTCCCTCGCTTCCTTTGACCACTCCCCTGTAATGCCACCCTAGAGCCCAACTAATTTGTCTAGATCATTTCTAAACTCTTGACACCTGGCACTGAGGGAGGAATCACGGGTATAGATCGAAAGGTTCACAGAACTCAGACCTGTCTTCTGCAAACTGTTTCTATGGCTGCTTTATCTCTTTCTTGCCCCATCACACTGCTGGCACCTCAAGCCTACAGCTAACTCACATCTTTAATGTTTCTTACAAGTGCTGCTGATTAAGGCACATCAGCTCACACTGTGCTTGGACAGTGGGCTTTTCTGGACTGAGCATGTAGGTCCTTACACATTTGACCTGATTGCATTGTAGCTGGTCTCATCAGCTCACTGCTTCCAGTTTTTTTGTTGTTGTTGTTGTTTTTTTAAGTCTACTTGAATCTTGAATCATGATATTGCTTTCATTTATTCAAAAAGAGAAAGTAGGAAGATTGAATCCAGACAGCTTCACCCTTGATTCCAGGTGTACCTGGAGCAAGTTGGTTGACCTCTCCGAGCCTCAGTTTTCTCACCTGTAAAATGGGGAGTCAAGATTAACTTCAAAAACCTCTTTGGGTTCTGATGTGTAGTTCTATGGTTCTGTTATTCAAGACAACCCTTCTATTGGCATCATGTCATATCTGTGTTTGATTACAATTTAATTCCTCACTAAAGTTGTTAATAAAAATGTCAACACAGATATGTTGAAAAGGGTTCTAATAGGCACTTTCACAAGTAAACGTGCTATTTCTGTCCTCCATTCTTAAAGTTACAAGGTTAAATGTAGATTAGCTCACTCTGACCAGCATTTTGATCTTAGTGGGAAAATGACTGTAGTTCCTTCTCTTAACTCTGTGCTTGGCTTCGTTTTAAACTTAGTTTTCCTTTGAATGTGCACACTCTGAAGTTCTCGGTATTCTAATACACCAGAGCCAGCAGCTTTGTGTCTTCAAAGTTCCACCCAAAGTAACGACCATGGGGTAGGCAGAGTGTCTCAGGAATAAGACAGGGGACAGGCGTGCCTAGTACTTCTCACCCGTTTTCATAGCAGCACCATGAGTTTCCTTTGGAAGGATTGAGGAGGATTATGTTGGGTTATGGTTTGTCAAAGGCACTCCTGTTCCCTTTTCTACCACCTGGGAGAAGGTGAAGGTGAGTCAGGCTGGTGGCTGCAGTGTTAGGGACCCAAGCTCCAACACGTGTCTCCTCCATTCCGACATGGCCGGTAGTCCAGGCACCTTATTCACCTCCAGCCGTCGAGACCGCATTCCGGACAAAGGCAAGGAAGCAAGGACAGAGAAGGACCTGGCACATCCCTCTGAGGACATTTCCTGGACGCTGCATCCATTGCTGCCACTTATATTCGGTTGGTGAGAACAAAGCCTCTGGAGATCCTTCGGACTGTAGTCTTAACTCTGCGTGGCTTGCTGCCTGGCTAACGTGGGCATTGGGTCATCCAGAAAGAACCAAGAAAAGTGATGGAGAGCAACTAGTAATCCCAATGTCCTTGGAGAAAAGCTTTGCTCTCATTCTTCTCCTGTGTGGTTTGTGTGGGTTGATCCTAGTTCAAGGGCAGGCATATGACCAAGCCCGAACAACTATAATTTTCTAATCATACTTTATTGAAAGCAACTCAGGCCTCCAGTGAGCATCAGCCATAGGACTTTTGTTGGAAAAGAGAAACGCTTGTTGGTCTGAGGTGATGAGCTAGTACAAAGTGAGCCTGGAGCTTCCAGTGGCCACCTCGCCAGCAGGAGGGGGAATGGGACTGGAACAAACACAGAGGAGAGCAGACTGCAAGGTGGGGCTCAGACAGCACCCTGTCAGCGCCACATCCAGCTGCACTAGAAGCATGGTCCCTGCGCCTTTTTGCTTCAACTGATTAGTTATCTTTCTGTTACTTGCAATGAACGAGTCCTGACCAATGCCAAAGCAGTAGCCACATCAGTAACAAAGAGCAGGGACCATTTTCATGGGAGACGGTGGAGGTGGGGTGGAGGCTTGCTTTAAAGGATACGTTTGGATGAGGACTGGAACCCTTCAAAATGTGAAGCAGTCATAGGATCTAGCTGCTTTCTCCATTTTCTCTGCTGCTCTTTGATCCTTATTCATTTCCTTCTCACTCATGCCCCCACCTCCCGTCCCTCCCATTTATTTAGGAATCAGTAAGGGTTACTGAGTTGCAAGCAGCAGAAACGGAACCTGGCTAATGTAAGCAAAAAGAAGAATTCAGAATAGCTCATACCGGAAAGAACGTTGGGAGAGCTTGCAGGACTGAGGAGCTGGAGTGTCAGAACGGCATCACAGAAGACACTGCTCCTCCCTCGCTGAGGGCCTGTCTCTGGTGCATCAGCATTATCACCATCTCCCTTCTCACTCTGACACCCTGCATTCCAGACCTTGAATTCGAAAATTATAAAACAAGGACATTTTCTTTTCCTGAAGTCGTTGGACCAGTCAAGCCTTATTATTCAGTTTTAGTTCAATGTATGTCTCACATCTTCCTCTCTCGAGCTGAGTTCTGTGAAATGTGAGAAAATGTTCCAAAGAGGGTGGTTCTGGTGAAGCGAAGGACTGTGAGTTGGAGCCATGTGGTCTGCAGGTTGTGTGAAGTGCCAAGTTCCCATCCGAGCCAGGAGGATGCGACAGCCTATTCCACATTTAGGGGGAGGCTGGGAGGAGGGCGAGATGATTTTACATGCTAGTACACTCTGTACTCTGGACAAAATCACAGGTACATGCTAGTACACTCTGTATCCTGGACAAAATCACATGTAGATGCTAGTGCACTCTACCCTGGACAAAATCACAGGGCAAAGGTTCAAGAAGCCAGATACTGCCTGCAGAAGGAACCAGATCTGCAAGATTAGGAGCCATTTGAAGCCCTTTGTAAGATTCCAAACGTTTTGTCATCTCCATGTTGGCTTGCTTCTGCTATTCACAAACGTACTTCTAATAAATGGTAGGTGCCATTTACTGCGCATTTTCTCAGCTGCAGGCTAAGCATTTAGATACATTACCCAGTTTAATCCTCTCTCCATGCGGGGAGGACGGGGATTACTCTGATCTGTACTTGAGGAATTAGGAAGCGGTCTGAAGCAGGGCGGATTTGCCATGTTCTCGTGTGCGCCGAAGGCTGGAGAATGGGGCGTCCGTGCTGGAGCAGGAACGCGGAGGCTGGCGACCAGCTCTCGCCATGTCTCCCCTGGGGTCAGCACCTGGAGCCCCCCTTGCTCGGCATCATTTAGTCCACGCTATCTGACTGCCCTGCTTTCCTACTGTGACGGAAACTCCTTAGGGCAGGGACTACACAGCCACTTCCGAGTCAGCCTGGTACTGGAGCTCGGCTGCATGTTCAGTGGGGACCCCGTGGTTTACGTGTCTTCTCTCCTTCGTGATGCACCCCTGAA